CTCAAAAATCCTCCTTCCCCATCACTACCTCCTCCTCCTTTGTTTGCTGAGTCTTCTCCTGAGTCTTCTGGTGAGTATTTCAAAGCTTCTGCCAGGTTTAGGATGTCCTTCATTAAAAGAATAGAGACTCGAAAACATGACTTGGAAAAATGGGTCCAAGTTGTGAGTTGCGTCTGAGTCATTGAAAAAGAAAATCTCGCCTGTGCACCTTAAGTTCAATGCAACAGCAAGTCACATGACTTGATTCCCATCCGTGCTCATAAGGCCATCAAGGCCAACTCCCTCCTCAAGGAAGGAATCCAAGTTACAGTATAATTGAAAAATTGGCTGTGTAACTTTCTCTTGAATGCCTCTAGTCTTGGAGTGCTCAACACCTCCTGAGGTAATTGATTCCATGGTCTTATTGCTCTAACAGTTAGGACGTCTTCTGTAGCCTGAGCCGATCATTACATGCTCTGCACTCTGGAATGACTGAGAAAAGATCCTGTCTCTCCTCTGTATGACAAGCTTTCAAGTATTTGAAGAGGGATAGCTTATCTCCCCTCGGTCTTTTCCCCTCAAGGTTAGACACAGTAAGGTATTTCAGTCTTTCCTCATAGGGCTTGATTCCCAGTCCCTGGATCACCCTTGTTGCTTTCCTCTTAACTTGTTCCAATTTGTCAGCATGCATCTTAAAATGCAGTGTCCTGAAATGGACATAGTAGTCAAGATGAGGCCTAACCAGGAACAAACAGAGGGGAACTAGTACTTCACATGATTTTTCAGACTGTAAATGCAACCTAGCACAGCATTTGCCTTTTTTGCAGCCACATCACACCGTTGGCTCATTTTCAGCTTAAAGCCAAAGGGTGCCCTGAGAGTCCAGGTCTCTGAAAGTGGGAGGGGAGGATGAGTCCTGGTCCTGGTTGGAGATTTTTCAAGCCATGCTCCTTCTGGAGCCTCCTCTGTTCCTCACACTCCTGCCTTTGTCGCCAGTGCCACGGTTGGGTCAGAATGGGCACCCCTGCTCATATTGGATGACATGGGTGCCATGGTGATGTTGGAGATGCAATAGGCTCCTGGAGTCCCTTACTCATAGCCCCTTCCTCTACTCAATGGGTGGGGCTCGAGGAGTTCAGTCTAGGGCTCCTCTTCCCAGTCACTCTCCAACTCAGCTGAGGCACAGAAGTGGGGGGGGTCTTGATGGTTCTTGATCCCCCAATGTTTCTTCCTCCTTCAAAGTCTTCATCTTTCCCTCTATTTCCCTGAAGGAAGCCTCAGAGTCCTCCTGGTTTTCCTCCATTATCCCAGGCTCTGCTTTCCCCTCTCGGGTGCCCTCATCAGCCTGCTCCCTCACAGCCACATGTTGTCCCTTTACCTTACCTACCAGGGGGCCAGGAGCTATGGCCTTGGATATCCTGCCCAAGGTGCCAGCGGCAACTCCCTCACAGTTGCTTAAGCGCTAATAAACAGGTTAGGGCATAAGCTAAATGTGCTCATCTATAGTCTTGTGGGGTTTTTTAATTTTAATCTGTAAACCACTCAGAGTAGTGCTTATATTAAAGGGGCAGTATATAAATCACTAGGAGAAGGAAAACTCCGATTTCAAACCTCCACTGCCTTGTGGCTATATCCACTCATGGAAAAGGCTTCAGGAGTTAACCTAGAGGCAAAATCCAGAGCTGGAGTCCCAGAAGCAGTTCGTGTCGTTCTGCCAACTCCTGCGACGTTGCTGGAACCAGTTGTATTGGCTCTTGCCTTTCCATTGGACCATTTCAGCAACGTGGAGAGGGGGGGTTTGCTGCTTGGGTAAAAGCCTATCTTCCATACTATTTTACCCAGGCTTCATGCTCTGGAGAGAAAGCTTCTCGATACAGAGCATGTTGCCATAGTCTCTCGAGACTGAAGGATGCCTATGATATAAATTAAATAAATAAATGATCTCGGCAGTTTTGTTGAAAACATGGGTACCCCACTGGAAATCTTTGTATCACATTTCCCACAGTTTAGTAGTTCTACTGCAAATTCTCCCAGACATTTGCAGTCTGGCCTACAGAAAGCTTCAAAAGTAATAGCAGCTTCTTCTCATTCTAGGAAGTCCTGCACTTGCTGAGAGGGGCTCCTTCAGAAGTGACACTTCACCTTTGCAGGCCACCAAAGGGTACCCTGCCAGAAATTGATCAAAGAGAACTGGTAAGCATGCCCTCTTTAGAATTACACTGGCTTCTACATATCTGGGGCATTCTCACAGAACTGTTTGGAATTACAAGTAACTCTGGGTTCCTTCTTTCATGTATTATATATGTGCAGTCAGTGCTGAGGAATAACGTACTAAAAATTAATGCAACGACATTGAGTTCATGGTGCATTCCACTGCAAAATGCAATGAATACAATTCTTCGAAAAGCAAGATTGCAAAAATAAAGATGGCTGTGGGGTCCTCATTGCAATGCAAAGGCAGGAGCAGTGATACCTTCATTAGACCACTAATAAAGTCTGCCAGATATGCTTCTTAAGGTGAGTTCAAATGTTAGTTGCAAACAGCATTGGCGACCACACGCTGGAAGCATACCTGGCAGACTTGTGCCATGGATTTTTGTGGGAACTTCATTTATAATTTTTCTGCAATATCGGGATAGGGCCTGAGGAAGAGGACTTAACTTGACTGACTGTTTGATTTTTTTTAATGGTCTAATAAAGGTATCACCCCTCCTGAATTTGTATTCCAAAAATAAACATTAAATATCTTTACTTAAGTTATTGCTGTACTACCTATAGAGGACACATATGGTTATGCCTTTCCCTCTATAAAAGGGAAAGAACCATAAGCATTGATTCATAATCAATTATTCCCACATTGGTGTTCTTGAACTACAGCTCTCAGAAACCCAACCGATGGTCAATTGCAGCCTTTTGGAAACTACAGCTTTTGCTTGAGAACCACTGTTCTGTGTAGAGCCAATAATTTATTCACCACTTTCATACACTCCATAGCACAATACAACAGAGACTCCTTTTGCTGTTATGTGCTGTCAGGTTGCCTGTGACTTCTGATGACCCTATAACTTAATGACCTTCCTCTCATGTACAGTCCTGCTCAGGCACTGAAATTTAAAGGCTATATTGTCCTTTATTGTATCAATCCATGTCATACAAAATCTTTCTTTTTGCCTGCTGCTTTCAGCTTTTTCTCACTTGAAGATAAGTTTAATCTTCTCATGATATGCCCAAAGTACACTAGCCTCAGTTTAGTCATTTTAACTTCTAGAGAGTGTTCAAGTTTGATTCTCCACACACTTGTTATTGTTGCTTTACTTGATCTTTGTGTTGTCCTGCCACAAAGTACCCCATATCTTGTGTCACTCTTCCACATTCTACTGGATAAGATGTTTGAAATAAAACAACAATATAACATTGATTTGGTCCAAGTATTGGATGTCTCTTGAGTATCTATTTCACTTGTTGCCTCTTTCCTTGTTTTCTTGTTTTTATTTTTTATTTTGAGTAATACAACTTTATTGACTCCCTTATTTACCACTTACTCTCCATTTAAATATTTACATATTAAAATTGCTGGTTCTTCATGTACAACTCAAGTAGCAAATTAATAATATGATTGTGCATTCTGTATTAATGTTAATTCAACAAGTTGTGTTTTTTTTTTCACATTTAAACATATAAGCTGCAGATTATTTTTCAATATCTGACATGTAACACTAAAAGAATAATTTTCATACTGAATTCTCCAACTTCTGTGTGTTGTGTCCAGACTTTCCAATTCAGTAGTCCTTCTGAAATTTCCAGAACTTTCTAGAATGCATAACCCCAGAGCTGAAGCATTCAGTTTGTTTATCTGGTGTTAAATCATGTCAGCAAGCATACAAAACCCTTGTGTCTATCAGAGGTGCCCTATGTATTACTAAGATGGCTGACATGTTTCACAATGTGTGTTTCAATTTTAATAGACTCCACTGTCTTCACCAGTTAAAGAACTTGTGACATCCCTGGAGCAAACATGTGGTTTGAATCACAACCCCTGCAGTGAAGAAGACTGTACCTCACCTGTAGAATCCTTGAGAAAAGGCCATGACAAGAAGGTGATGGATGTGCAACACTCCCCTTGTAGAGAGCAAAATGCAAGGATATATCCATCTTTGATCAAAAATGCTTCCCCAGCTTTGCGCTCATATAAGCATCTCTGGAAAGTTCACCAGAAAACCATCACTTCCAAGACCTTCCTTTCTCTAGAAGAAGAGATGACACAGGGGTGCACCTCACCATTAGAACTGGAAACGCCTCAGAGGTAAGGCCCAGGGGATGACCATGGCCTGCTTTGACCCAATGGGCGTCTGATTCCAAGAAACTGTGGAGGCTTGTATCGACATAGGGGCCAAGAACATGGCCATCACTGGTGAAGCCAGCATCTTATTTGATACTCATCCGCCTCTAGTAAAATTGAAGGATGAAGGTGTCTTGGCATTTGCAATGACTTGCTGTATTTATTTGATAATAAGACAAACATGAAGTATCAGAATAAAACCCAGAGAAAGGGGAAGAACTAGTTTTTAGCAAAGCAACTCAAAGCAAGTCTGATCTTTTAAATTCTAATTAGAAATATATTTACAGTACATCTTTTGCTTGCTTAATATCTGAAGTCCTGTTCAACCCACTGATAACCTATTCCCAAATTAGCACACCAAGAATGATAGCCTTGAGACCTCCATGCTGCAGTTGCCATGAATGGATCCATTTGTGAATAAGCAGCCCAGGCCTGCTGTTTCAAATGGCAAGCCCATGTGATTTCCTAGGCACATTATGAGGGAAAGGAAACAAATTCAAACTTGCAGATTGCTTGTAGTGCAATCCTTTCAAAACTGTATCACTTCATAGCAAAGTTGAGGCTACTTGGCAGAATATTTTTAAACATGTAAACAGAAGAAAACAGCATCTAGACAGCTAGCCTATTAAACTGCGCAGAGATCCATACACATCAAACAGCAATGGCAGCACCTGCTTTAACTAAGGAATTCCAAGGAATTCAGAGTATATGTTTTTCTCCCCTACCTGATTTTATTTTTACCACAAACTAGTAGAGAAGGTTAGGCTAATGAAGAGAGATTGGCCTGAGGTCATCAGTGAACTTTACATTTGAGTAGTGCTTTAAAACTCATACTTCCTTTGTTTAGTTTCCTAGTTTCCAATTTCACCATGCTGTCTCTCTTTAGCACACCTAAGGGAATTTCAGATATCGCAAGCATGGATTAGACATGTTCCCATTTGGCTTTATGTATAATTTTAGGGGAATAGGCATACATTATTATTTAATTAGGCATCATATATTAAAACTAGCATGCCAGCTGCACCTATTCCTGGAAATATTTGACCAGGCCACAGTGATATATGCCATAGTTACATCCTGCTTGGATTACTGCAACACTCTCTACCTGGGGCTGCCTTTGTGAAGTGTACGAAGACTCTAGTAGGTCCAAAGTCCTGCAGCCAGATTCCACTGTCATAACAACTCCACTGGCTGCTTTCCAGGCACAACTCAAAGTGATGGATTTGACTTCTAATGCCCTAAATGACTTGAATCCAAGCTACTTGAAAGATCCCATCTTCAAGGGATCTGTTTCCCCATCCTCACAGGTGTGTTTGGTGAGGTATGTTGCTATTCTCAAGCCAGGCTGGCTCTTTCTTTGCAGTCCTTCTGCTGGCAGGCAAAGATTTTTCTCTTCAGGCAGACTTTTTGTTAGTGAATGGCTGCCTAAGATTTGGGGTGCTGCTTTTTGTTTTGTTCTGTTTGCCTTCCAGTTTTTTTATTGTTTGCTTTCATTGTTGGAATAAATAAATATGAATGAATGAATGAATGAATGAATGAATGAATCCATCCTTCCCTTTGTTCAGGTAGAGCATTGGTACCATGGGATACATTTCTGACTCCTTGTTCCTAAAATTTATGCCTGCTTACTTTCAATGGTTAAAATAATATGGCCAAATTCCTACTGCTTTTTTTTCTGTGAGCTGTAGCTCAGTGACAGACATTGCGGTGGTTAATTGAGGCTAATTAATGAGATGTCAGTTGTGTGCTGGTTGTGTGACCAGCACATGACTAGGCATATGGCTGACAACTTGGTCTGTTAGCCTGACAACTTGGGCCTTTGCAGCACCAGCAAACTGATTTGCTAAGCATCACTTCCATGTTCTTATCCAAGACATCTATAAAAAAAACAGCAGACCATAAGTATTGGTGTGCAAGGGCAAAACAATGTTATCCCTATAAATGGAATACATTCTCCAGCTTTTGCCTGTCATAATGGCATTTTCCTCTTGATTTGATTAGAGATATTGGGGTCATTGTTCAACAGAGACAGGAGAGCGCTAACTGTTTTCTTTTTGTCATGATACCAACCAAAATTCAGCTAGGACATCACACAGCTAAGACTGAAATCAGGTCTAGTCATCATGTTATGCTGAGAGAGACAGATTTTCTGCCAAAGCCAGGGCAAACATCTGTGATATTCCAGCACCTGCCTGAAACTCTCTGATTTCATGACTATTTATATGTCTGTTTGTTTTTTTATAAATATTTTTATTGTATTTTTCTACTTTTCTATCTGTTGCAACCTGAGTGATTTATTACACTATATTCCATTCATTTCACCTTGTCTCCTACAGTACTCTCCAACATAATATTAAACTAATCTATTCTACTTAAATCAGTGTAGATTTCATCCAGATATAAAGAGGTTCCCATTTATTATTATCCAGTTTATCATTTAGTGTATCTGTCAAAATATCCATTTCTGCTAGTTCGAAAATCTTCCCAATAAATTCCTTCTTTGTCGGCACCTTTGTAGTCTTCCACTTACTGGCATACACAATTCTATCTGCAGGGGTAAAGTCAGGTAAGTCTTGTTTTTGTTTTGTTTTGTTTTGTTTTTTGAGTGTAGCTGGTAATATATTCAATAAGAAGATTTCTGGTGTTAAAGCAATTAATTATGTGTTTTTGGATAAGACAGCCAGGATTGATGTGGACTTTCTTTTTCAGCCCCGTGTTTGACAAGAGTGACAGCGACCAATCTTTCAAGTACTCTCAAACTGAGATCCTTTCTTCCACACCAGTGGATGAACAGTACCTTATCTCCAAGCCAACATCCATCACCCCACTGTTACATGAAGAGAGATCTGAGATGGGGACTTCTGAAGAGCAAGATGAACTGGGCCCAAGTATAGTTACTTCAACGAGCAGAGAACAGTGTGTCGGTGACAGAACATGGGATGATCTAGAGGAAGTGAAGACAGATGTGCAAAAGTGGGGGAATGTTAGGGTATGTGTGTGATACTGAGTGAGAATATTACACTATTCAATTGATGGTGGCAGCAACATACAGTCTAGTTGTATCAGACAAAATATGCCCTCAGGCTGCACATAAGCATTAAATACTGCTGAAAAGCCTCTGAGCCCTCAGACACACTCTCAGGTGTCAAAAATAATTGCACTCTCAGGGACTTTTCACAATATTTTTGAAAGCAAAGCCAAGCACGCAATAGGGCACAGGTGATGAACCCAGGTGGTGTTGGAGCCCAACTCTCATGAAACCACCCAGCATCACCAATGGTTACAGTTATGGAAGTTGTACTCCGGTCACTTACAGAGGGTATAGAATCCCCATCTTATAGTAAGCATTTCTAGGCCTTGCACAGTAACACCAAAAGTGACTTTGCAGCTTTTGTGTGCAAGAAGTATCTGCTGCATTTTTGTTTGTATGTACCATGTTATTTCCTCTTGTCTAAGCAGAGGTGTGTTTCTGCATAGGAACTGTTCAGCAAAAATACACACAGCTGCCTCTGAATATATGTATTTTTTTAAAAAAAAAAATCTGCAAGGGAGTCAGAACCTGGTGATGATGTAATGTTGGCAAAAATGAAGGAGAAAAAAGAGAGCATAAGGCAAAATATTATGGTACGTTAACTATTGATATATTTATTTCACTGTGAGCTTTCATGGATCGAAATCCACTTCTTCAGATAAAAGGAATGTGAACACCTGTCCTTTATATTTATACATATCCCCATGGTGGTGAACTTTGACGAAGTGGCAATGCTTGGTTAACACAGAAATGGCATCGTCAAGCAGTTAATTGCTTGAGATTGCAGGTCCTAGCCATGGTGTTAAGCTGAATGCCTGGTAAACTTGGCTGTGACAGAAATGCTAGGAGATGTTACTGGAACAGAGGACAGAGTTAGTCAATTTTTAAAATAACTTCTATTGACAACTGGAAAAAACCAAAATCAATGACAGGGATTATAATACAGGATTTACAAACCAATTAGTGGCAAAATCTCATACACAGGAAATTTATCTCTGTGAATAATACAATCCATTCCTATAGTGCATTTGTGCGCACATTCCATCAGGCTTAAAAGATAGCAGATCAAGATGTCATCTTGCCCATTTAATTCCTCACCAAAAACCAACAAAAGGTACAAAATGTTAATGAAATTATCCTCTTTTATTTGTCCTATAATCCGTCTTAAGCAAGTAGCCATTTCTTCATTAGTGCTACTAACCATATTTTGTACAAATGTCTCAAAAGAGAAAGCTCTTGAGCATTTTTCCAAATTTAGGCAATTTCAGTTTTTGCAGCCCCTACAAGGACCAACAACAACTAACTCTTTATCAGTTCAATTCTCATTCTCTCAAGTGAATAATGAGAACAATTGTAAAGTTTCATTAGGGACTATCCCTTGCTGTGTTAACCTGATCATCCAGCTTATTATGTCATGCTGGAATGATTTTGACTTTCAGACCAGAGATCCACATATATTCCAGTGATCCTTTTGAACCACAATTTCTCCCAACACCTCTCTGATATCTCCTTATTAATGTTATGAAGTTTTCTAGGGCACAATTGAAGGGACGTGGTGGCACTGCGGGCTAAACCGCAGAAGCCTGTGCTGCAGGGTCAGAAGACCAAGGAGTCGTAAGATCGAATCCACGTGACGGAGTGAGCGCCCGTCGCTTGTCCCAGCTCCCGCCAACCTAATGGTTCGAAAACATGCAAATGCGAGTAGATAAATAGGGACCACCTCGGTGGGAAGGTAACAGCGTTCCGTGTCTAAGTCGCACTGGCCATGTGACCACGGAAGATTGTCTTCGGACAAAACGCTGGCTCTATGGCTTGGAAACAGGGATGAGCACCGCCCCCTAGAGTCGAACACAACTGGACAATTATGTCATGCCGGAATGATTTTGACTTTCGGACCAGAGATCCACATATATTCCAGTGATCCTTTTGAACCACAATTTCTCCCAACACCTCTCTGATATCTCCTTATTAATTTTATGAAGTTTTATAGGGCACAATTGCCCTCTATGAACTGTTTATAATATTACTTCCTTAGATTTGGCCAAAACTAATTCATGAGGCTGCATAATCCATATTGTTGCCCAAGATTAATATTTAGATTCATTTCCCAAACCTTACATTTGTTAAATGTGGTGACTATTTTACATCCATAAGCTGTTATAAGAAACTGGATTGTTAATATATGTATTCTTCAATGGTGATACATTTCAGTGGTCTCAATAAGGGAGCTGTAGATGAACACAAATGATGTTCCCTCATTCTCTCTATTAGGTCTTCTTCTAGCAGTTTGTGGCAGGATAACAGCCTGGCTCGGTTAATTTCCTTTTTCACCATTTTGAATGAGCAGTGTAGTTTAAGAAATGACTGCTCTAACTCCATGAGTTTTGAATCTCTGTCCTGTTGTTCTGAGCAAATCCAATTATATCAGAAAGCTTGGCTGTAGACAGTGGACCTTGCATTGTGTTATGTATGAAAGTGAAATCATTTTATCTAAATACTTGGTAGACAGAATTTTCATGGCCCCACTTGGAATGGTATTTTTGATGTCTTGTAAACTAGTCTTATGAGGAATGTTGGTGTAAAGTGTCTATATATGCATGGGGGCCAGGATTCTGTTCTCTGGAAGGGTGCAGGTGGACTCTAGTTTCCTTAGAAATTTGCTGTATCTTATGTGTATCTTTTATGTAGCAAAAAGTAGGAATTTCATAATCTACAATATCCATTGTCACTTTGACCATTATCTGTATCCTAACCTTGCCATTGTACTCACTACCACAAGGATATGAGGGGCACCATGGAGATACAGAGAATAGATATTTGCACTCATTATATCTGAAGAAGTGGATTTTGATCCATTAAGTCTCACACTGAAATGAACATTTAAATTTTAATGTGCCCTATTTTCACTATTATAGTCTATATATATCCATGGGGGCCAGGATGCTGTTCTCTGGAAGGATGCAGATGGACTCTAGTTTCTGACAGGATTTGGTGACAGGAAAATGCGCAGAGTTAATTGAAGACACACGTTCTTCTTCTTTAGCAAGACAGCCTTAGAAATTTGCTATATCTTATGTGTATCTTTTATGTAGCAAAAAGTAGGAATTTCATAATCTACAATATCCATTGTCACTTTGTCCATTATCTGTATCCTACCCTTGCCATTGTACTCACTACCACAAGGATATGAGGGGCACCATGGAGATACAGAGAATAGATATTTGCACTCATTATATCTGAAGAAGTGGATTTTGATCCATTAAGTCTCACACTGAAATGAACATTTAAATTTTAATGTGCCCTATTTTCACTATTATTCCCTTTCTCTTTTTTCCCCTTTTCAGTTTTTCCAACGTGCCGAAACAAACTTAACACGGCTATTTGTTTGGTGATGTCATGAATGTTTGTATGGTTGTTAATGGGATTCAATTATAGATGTTGTACTGTTGGTACAGGCATGGGAAATAATAGCCATAAGCGTCAAGAGCTAGGACAGGAGGGGGAAACGAAGAAAGTCTGCTCAAGCCATCACCTTTGCTCCCAGTTCCCAACCCCACAGATAGAAAGCTATCAACCCTGCAAAGTAGATTTCATCTCCACCTCTCGTAACAGGATCAGAGCGAGGGGCCTCCTAGACATGGCATTTCTGAGAATTTAAACAAACAAGAAACAAGAAATAATTACTCTCACTATTCCTTGAGTAAAATTATAGCTTCTTAGCATGGTATTAGGCTTTATAGAAACCTTGTACAGTATTTCAAACAAAGTGCACTGTACACAACTGTATGCTAGCATTAACCACTGACCATCATCTTGGTACAAGAACATTCTGCCATCTAGCCATAAGCGTCAAGAGCTAGGACAGGAGGGGGAAACGAAGAAAGTCTGCTCAAGCCATCACCTTTGCTCCCAGTTCCCAACTCCCCAAATAGAAAGCTATCAACCCTGCAAAGTAGATTTCATCTCCACCTCTTGTAACAGGATCAGAGGGAGGGGCCTCCTAGACATGGCATTTCTGAGAATTTAAACAAACAAGAAATAATCACTCTCACTATTCCTTGAGTAAAATCATAGCTTCTTAGCATGATATTAGGCTTTATAGAAACCTTGTACAGTATTTCAAACAAAGTGCAGTGTACACAACTGTATGCTAGCAATAACCACTGACCATCTTCATCTTGGTACAAGAACATTCTGCCATCTGGGTCTGTTTAGATCGGCATTTTCAAAATTGTGTCCCTAGGAAATCTGGAGTTTGTCAAAAGGTAAGCAAGGGCTTTTTGAATACAAGATCAACAGTGATACACCAAATGCCTGACGTGGCCAATATTAATTAACCTGCCCAAAATCTGCCATTGCAGAACAATACTGACTGCATTCTTAAGGGGACAAGATGGAATACTAAATTGAATGGTCAAGAATGGGGCATTTTGTAATCAACATTGAACCCATCAAAATTACTTCTTTATTAACACTTTAATGCCACCAAACCAGCCAAAATGGAAGTGGTCATGAACAGTAACTTTTAAGCAGGCTAAACCAACCAGATTCAGAAGACACACATGACTAGATGAGAATGATGCAGAAAGCCACAAAAATGTCCCCAGGAACAGCATTCCAATACCTTATCTTGGAAGAAAATCACTCTTGCACAAAATAACCCATAATAGCAACTACCCAGTAGAATAAACCACCAACTCAAGTTTCTGTTGATGGTCTTTTAGGAAAATATGGGAATTTGGCCTGGGAATGGCATTGGAATGTGGTTCCTGGGGATGTTTTGTGGCTTCTTGTATCTGCAATGTAGTCATGTGCCACTGGAAAATAGAGAGGACTTTCCCAATGCAGAAGTTGACATTTTTGTGATGATTTCTACAACATGGAAATTTGAACTGGGATGGGAAGTGGAAATTGCTTCTTTTGGAGGTTTCATGGCTCTTATCTACCGATGTATGACTGATGAACATTGTTGCCATGTCATCTACAGAAGCTCCTATTCCAGGCTATTCTGTGGGATGAGTACTTTTTTGCCTATAACAGTTATCTGAAAGTAAGTATTATGTGTCCCTCTATCTAGTACCGTGTACTGGTGAATTTACTTTCCTTGGCCTACCTGGAAGTTGCCATTACAGCAATTTTTGGGCTGGAATATGGTCCCTGTACACCAAATCCCTTCTAGTCTCATGTGATAGGTACATTTCATTTAATTGTCCTACTCAGAAGTTGATATTCTCAGCTCTTTTCCAGAATGCTGATATACTGCCCAGAGGTACTGGGATATGCTTCCTGGGAGGTTTTGTGGCTTTGTGCATTAAGTCTCATCTCGGAATATATGACTGATGAATGTAGTGGTTGCTGGCCAAGGCTGTTTCTGAAATACTACTTTTTTTTCCATGACAGGTATTAGAATATATTTCCTGAAGAGATTTTATGGCATATTTCGTCAGACCCAGCTAATCACACATGACTGGTGAATTTGGTTGGGTTATCCTGCTTAGAGGTTGCCATTTAGGGTCATGTTTGAGAATATTGATGTTCGGCCTGGAACAGATACTGGAATGTGGTGGAGCAGGATATTTTGTGACCTGTTGCATGAGTTTCATTTAGTCACATATGACTGGTAAATTGGATTGGATTGTCCTACTCATAAATTGTGTTCCTCTGGATGTTTGGTGGCTTGTTGCCTTAGTCCTTCCTAGTTACATGTGACTGGTGACTTTGGTTAGGTTGTCTTACACATAATTTGCCATTCCAGGCCATTCTGTGGAATATTGATTTTTTCCACCTGGAATGAGACCTGGTATAGGGGTCCTAGAGATGTTTTGTTACAAGTTGCACCAATTCCATTTAGTCACGTGTGAGTGGAGATTTTGGTCATTGTGTCCTACTTGCAGATTGCCATTCTGAGCCATTCCTGTTCTGGCTGATTTGGGTGCATTAAAGGCTGAGTAACAGAGTAATATTTGGTGGGCTGAATTTCTAAAATAATGTTCTGATGCGAGGCTATCACTATATTTTTGGCATCCATCTTTAATATGAAGTGGCAGTTCCAGCCAATTCTATTCCTTTCCAGCTAGCCCCTTATCTTAGTTCATACACAGAGCTAGCAATGCACTAGATCAGTGGTTCCCAATCTAGGGTAACCCAGGTTTTCTTGGACTGCAGTTCCCAGAGCTTTAACCACCAGCTGTGCTGGCCAGTGTTTCTGGAAACTGGAGTCAAAGAACACCTGAATTACCCAAGGTTGGGAACCACTGCTCTACATTAAGACTCCTAATCCTTTGTGATGTACAAGGATTTTCCAGCAAAGAAATTGGGCTTATTTAATTTGCCTGACAATGTAGAAAAGGTTCCTCGAAGGCATGAAGTTCAAAAAAACATTAACACAAACATAGTCCAGAATCATTTTGTTGTTTTTTGTTTGTTTGCCCACACTGTTGCTTCCATTCTCTGAGGAACACACTGATGGAGAGCTACTGACAATGGCCAGCCCACCTTATTCTTTCTTATGTAGGAAACCGAGTTCCATGTGACATTGACAAGGTCAGTGAACAAGGGGTATGGATTCACAGTAGTTGTTAACAAAATGGAGAACACCGTGCATATAGCAGAGATCCTGGGAGAACCTGCTCTGTCAGATGGACGACTGAGAAGAGGAGACAGACTCCGTATGGTAAAGAACCCTCCCTCCAACAAGCCTGGTTATACTATCTTTGAAGAGGCTCAGCTTAGCTAGATACACACTGAATAGGCTTTCAAATCCTGCTTCTCACTTTTAGGCATTGGATGTTTATAGGACAAGAGAACAAAATTGAAACATAGCCCCTTTTCTCTATGTTCCTTTGTTTTAGTGCCAACATTCATATTGACACATTCTTTGATTTTCTACTTCATTGAGGAGTTTTTTTATTTTTTATTTTTTGCTTTCTACTGAGAAAACAAAGATAAAGGAGAGAGATTCTGATTTCTTATATATGTTTACGAGCATTCAGCATTAAAAAACAGCTCCTTGAGCATTCAGGAAAAACATCAAATAAGAATGTCCTAGAAAGCCATATGCCTGCAGAGAGCATTAAATTAAGTGTATATTTCTGAAACTTCTTTCTTTTTCCAAATGAGAAAAGGCAGTTTGGTAAACCATATTAAACTGGTGGACCTATGGCTAAATGCTTCCCTGTGGAGTGCGACTGTTTAGCATTCTAGCCCCCCATCCATGTTCTTTCCAAGCTTGCCCATTTCATTTTCTTTCAGGGCAGTTTCTGTTCCACCCCCTCCAACAGGCAGACCTTTGTAGACACTCAGCAGGCTTAGTTTTCACTAGGTTATTTGGGGATTTTTCCCCCTACGACCTTACAGTGCCTTGTTACACATTTCTACTCAGAGGGAACCCCCACTAAGTGCAAAGAGACTTTTCCCTAGGTAAGTATACATATAGAACTGCAATCTTAGAGATGTTTTCTCCTAGCTAAAATTCTTCTATACTTCTGGAAATCTCATGAGTTCCCCCCCCCCGCAAAAAAACTTGGTTATAGTTACCATCTGTGTATGAATAGTGTTTTGTATGCACAAGGGTACAGAGTGTGGGGATAGGCCCATATTAATACAACTATGAGATAGCAGAATAAAGCAGAACATAGAAGATAATAAATTAGATAGCATTAAACATTAAAATTGGCCCACCATTAGTACTAAAGTTCAAAACTGAAATTAATTCATGAACATAATTGACATGTTAATTAAAATATTAACTGGAATGTCCTTTGCAAAGCAATAAATATAAGTATATAATCTCTCACTCTGAAAGAAAGAGTTCTAATGCATGCATTTCACAGAAAAATTTATACTGGTTAGATCGACCTTACATACATATATAAATGCCTTTGGAATACCAGCTAGAGAAGCCTTAGTTCAGACTGTCAAGAGGTCAGTCAGCTCTTTATAAAAGAATGGCTCTTAAGCTTGATGCTCTTTCATTGTAACCTCTAAAGCCCTGACAAACACTATAGACACTTGGCAGTTTTAACTAGTACTTCTGGGTGTTGTGGTCTAAATATTTATATGTCCAAAGGCTATCCAGTATAAATCTAATTTTTAAAAGGGAAGTGTAGGCAGTTATTCCTTTGGAAAGGGACAGGGAAGGAGTAATGTTGATATGTGCTCTTTGAAGAGAGCATGTCAACTCTAATGGCTGAAATCCTGTTGCTTTGTTATGCATGCAGAAGACAAACAGCCTAACATTCAGTCACTTTTAACTGGCAATTAACAAGTTGTAGCTGAGATTCTCAGAGGTATGCACACCCACTGGCTTTGCACTGGAGACTCCCAGCAGAAACACATTGATTGCCAGCTAGTAGGCACTGAAAGGTACACTATTTGCCCTCTGCATGCATAGCAAAGCAATGGGATTTTAGCCAGTGACTTCAAGTGTAAATTCCACATTTTGTGGCATTGGTCCAAAAAGTAACACTTTACCTTAACATATTGATTCTAGAGTGTAATTAAGTACATGAATCATGAACAAGCATGAACCTCTGTCTCTCCCTTCCTTTTTAAAGTAGAGTTTACACTTTCTCAAAAGTTATCATTAAAGAGAGAGGGTGTTATGGGACTGTTTTGGTGGTTTCACAGTTTTTAACTAGAGTGTTACTCATTTATTTAAAAGTATGAACTCTACAAAAAAGGAACCTTGTTAAACCAAAAATAATTCTGAAGCTTTAACTTTAATTTCCTACTAGTACCTGGTAAGCATGGTTACTGGGAATGGTTTAAATAATTTTGTGATTGTGAAACATCTTCAGGCAGCAGAATATCACCAGAACCTTTCCTTGTGACTCAGGTGAATGGAATTGATGTCACAACTATTCCATCTGAGGAGGTCATGGCTCTATTATATTGTTCTCCCCATGAGCTGAGTTTGGTTGTTTGCCGGATAATCCAAGAGAACTCTACTTCTTTCAGCCCAGATGAGATCCCTGAAATCATAATCACTAAGGGACGTCATGGACAACTTGGTATGTAGCACACTCTGAAGAGCTTTTGTGTCTGCAATCCTAAACCCATTAACTTCTAACTAAGGAAGTATTAGAGATGCACAAGAGTTGCATGTCTGATGTTGCACAGCAGAGCAAACCAACGTTCTATAAAGCAATTTTACAAATGACGGCGGACCAAACAAAAACATATAACATTGAAAGAGGAGTTTGGATCAGACAGTCTGCTTATCCAAATTGCTCTGTGCTAAATATGGGGAGGTGTGCATAAAGGGTTTTCAAGTTACAATTTTTTTAAAAGTGCTAAATATGGGGAAGTGTGCATAAAGGGTTTTCGAGTTACATTTTTTTTTAAGTTTTATTCCCTCCCCTTGAGAAACATATGACCTTGAGAAACAGCTGCTCGTCGAACTGTTTTATTCCCTCCCCTTGGGAAACATATGACCTTGAGAAACAGCTGCTCCAAATTTAAAACAATTCACATAAATTGAAAGGATCAATATTGGTTATCTTGGAAAATAATTGTTTCACTCATTTTTTTATTTGGAAAAAATCCAGGCTGTAGGGGTTGAAATATTGGTCCTCAAAAAGGCCTTTCAAAAGGGAGAGTGATTTCTTGTAACTAGAGATGGACATGAACTGCTGAACTGGCAGTTCATGCCAGTTCATCCTTCAGGCAAACAGGTATTTCGCGCTTCCCAGCCCTACCTCCTCCGATAGGCACCCACTCAGAAGCAGCACGTGCAAGAGTTAGAGCAGGGAAATGGGGGCACTGTCTCCCAGTGAGCACCCACTGGAGGAGGGAGGGCTGGCAAGCATCTCTGCTTGTAACACTGAACATGCATGGTACAAGCTTACCAGGAAGATGAGTGGCTTCAGCAAAGGCAAAGCTTGCGGGGAGGGCTTCAGGGTGACTAGGAGAAGTCACAAGCCCAAACTTGAAAGGAATTTGGAGAAGCAAAAAATGTGCTTGATTTAAAGAAAGTAATGCAGTGACATTCCTCCAGAAAGGGGAACATCTTACCATGTGTCTTCCAAAAATTAGCATACAGGTTTGTAAGGCGTATTCAAAGTATTTTGCATACATTACAAAATCACACAGCATGAAGTCAACCAGTTGTGTTCTGTCATAGCCCAAAATGCTTTCACCAAACATTTTCTCAGGATTGTTGACTTTTGAAACGGTCAAAAACGGACATAGATATGACAGAAAGAATGGAGAACAAATATTTAGCAACTCAGGGAGCAGTTACAGTACTGAAATAAAGTGGGAATTGCATCAGGGTTTTAGAAACTTGGTTCTTGTTCTGATGTGCATGTCCTTGTGATCACCTGCAACAGCGGTGGTGGCAGCATCAGCATCAAGGGCTGTATTTGGCCTATGAACTCAAGCAGCAAGAAGGGCTTGTTGGCTGGGAAGAAGCAAAACTCCTCCTTTGCTTAGAACATGCACTCAAGACCTCCTGCTTGTTATAAATAAATATGTTGCCCATTTCACCCACTGCGGTGACTTTGCCATTGTCTCCTCATTAGCTGCCATGCCTGGCGGGTACAACCTGTCCGGGTCCTAGTCCCCGCTGCTCTCGCTCCTTCTCTCCACCACTCCCTATCATCGCAGCATGTTGGACAAATTTCTTTAGGCTTTCCCTGCAACAAAATGCAGGTGGGAGGGGTGATAGCATCCCCAGTTTCCTCCTCCCAGTTTTATATAATTTTGAACTGGGAACTGGCATAGCACTAGATTGAAAGTAAAAATGGATAAGGGGAGGGGAGGAAGCATTCAGATTGCAGGGTATCCTGCAGTCCAAAACCTGTTGGACTTAGCACCCATTTTAGCAAACCTCAGAGACCCCCACAGGCACTATTTATCATCATCATCATCTTAGAACTGCAGAGCTAAAAGGGACCCTATGGATCTTTGAGTCAAGGAGGCACAGTACTCTGAGAGAAGTGTTCATGCATGCCCCCCAAAAAAATTCAAAATAAGAAAATAAAGCACATTCATTATCAAGTTAAAATCAATAACCCCCTCACAGCTGTTTAAATAACTCATTTTTGGGACAGAAAATACGTATGTTTAGCTGCGCCATGTAGTCGGAAGTGTTGAAATCAAATTCAAGAGTGCTAAATCCAGTGCAAAAACAGAAATATTATGACATGTAACCACATCCTCACCTATTTAGGCCGGAAAATGACTCACAAAAATCCAGACAATTTTCCTATCTAGCATATCTACACACTGGGCAGAGCTCAGAAATGGTGCTATTGTTTTCTTTTCTTTATTATTTTTAAGGTTTTTATATTTAGGTTCCCAGCATGGTGTAGTGGATAGAGTGTATTCTACGGCTCTGTAGGACAGGGTTCAAATCCCTGCTCAGCCATGGAAACTCCCATGGCTAAAACCACTCCTTAAATATCTCACTTACCTTGGAAGTCCTATCAGGGTCACTATAAGTCAGTTCCAGCACAGAATATAATGTGCTGAATATATATCATCCCATAATGTTTAAAGCACTCTTTGGGCTGTTTACTTTTTAAAAAGAAAATTATACAGGCCACACAGCACAGAATACACTCTCACACACCATTGTTTGCTTATTTCATTTTTTAAAGAAAAACCTCCCAAGATGTTATGTGACATCAATTCACTTCTGTTGTGTGGCACCTATATGAGCTAATAACCAGCAAAAGGTCCTATCACTGACAGGTTTTGTGAACTAATAGCTATGATTTCCTCTATTGAGTTAATATTTCCCAGCAATATTATATTTCCTGGTCACTTCTGTCTTCTCATTATATGTGAAAAGTAAAATAGTTTCATGGTTGTTGTAGGTTTTATGGGCTCTTTGGCCATGTTCTTAAGGTTTTTCTTCCTAATGTTTCACTAGTCTCTGTGGCCGGCATCTTGAGGGACAGAAGTCAGAATTCTGTCTGTGCTCTGGTGCAGTTTGTGGGATAGTTGAGTATTTACAGCTTTTGTCCTTTTCAGGAGATTGGGTGATTATGGTGATCAGTATGTTCTTGTTGTGGGTGTATTTTTGTGATAAGAGGGAGAGATTATCTGTCACTATGATTAATGAATGCCATTAGCTGGTCTTTTGTGTGCAGTGATCACTGATCCTTGTGGCTAGGTAGAGTTTTTTGACCTTTTGCAGGCTTTATGAATCACCCAATCTCCTGAAAAGGATAAAAGCTGATCCCACACCTATAAAGACTCAAC